TTTTCTCAGGAAGTTCCTGGAGGGTGTGTCCTATCAGAATCATTGTAGTACCCTAGAAATAAAAAACAGAAAAACAAAACCAAAAACGCGAGTTCCAATAGGCACCAGATCCCACTTGGGGGCCTAGCAAGGGGATGTTCTAGATCAATACAGCACCCTAGCACCGTTAGTAACCCATAAAGACTGGGGCATGGTCAGGGAACGTGCACTCGAAGCACAAAGAATGAAGACATATGAAGATTTAGAAAATACTGGTGATAGGTCTATGACGGAAATGTATGTTCCTTTAGTCGCGTTCACTGTTGTAGTGTTCCAGGTCTTAGAACAGTGCCTAGCGCATGGTAAGCATTCAGTAATGCTTTGTGAAATGTGAAAAAGAGAGGAAGTGTGAATGGGAGGACAGGAATTTGATACAGTGAGTACACACAACTTTTTAAAGGTTTTTCTGTAAGGCAGAGCAGACAGATGTGGGGTAGCTTGAATGGAAAGTGGGATCGGAAGGGGGCTTTTTAAGATGGGGGAAAAGACAGGACTGTATGTTGATATGAGTGATGCCAAATGGAGGAAAACACTTGTGAGGAAGGAGGGACGATTTCTGCCGCCTACCCTATATTCTCAGGGAAATGGGAAGCAAGGTCCTCAGGTGAGAGTGAAGGTGGTGAGTGGTCAGAGAGGACCCCGATATCCTCAACAGCTCCAGATGTTCCCCTAATCTTCTTGCTTATCTGAGAGCTGGCTGTTTCCTAAGATCATCGCTTTCCTTGAGGCGGTTTTTCGGGTGGTATCGTGGTCTCTCACACACCTATACCACCAGAGGGCCAAACCCTTGCACAATCTATACCCTTTCCAAGTTGCCGAGGTGAGTTTGATGGCCCTCGGTATGTTCTAGCCTAGAAAATGGTTATGTGTGCTTGGAAAGAATGTGTATTCAACTGTTGTGGAACAGAGTGTTTTCTAGATGTCAGCTAGTTCGGGGTTAACAGAGGCTGCTGTTCAGGTCTTCGTATCCTTGCAAATCTTCTGTCCAGTCCGTCAGTCAGAGTATTAAAACCCCCAGATATTAATGTTGCATGGTCTAATTCTCCCATCAATTTTGTCAAGTTCTGCCATAGATATTTTGAGGCTCTGTACCTATGTGCACAGAAGTTTGAAATCGTTATGTCTCCCACATCAGTGGATCTTTCTGTCATTACGAAATGTCCACTTGTGTCTCCAGGAACACTGTCTGTCTTAAAAGTCGACTTTGCCTGTGCTTATTATGGCCATGATGGCACACTGTGGTCCACTGTGCTCTCACTCTCAGTGGGCTTATGCCATTATCAGAAGTATATCCCCTGTCGAAAGCAGGTAGTTGAATCCATCCGTTTCTTCTACCGGATTGACACTCTCTACCTTGTGATTAAAGTGATTAATGCATTCATAATATGGGTAGATTTGCAGATGTTATTTTGCTATGAGTGTTATACATTTCTCGTATCTTTTTGTGCCTCCATTTCTCCGTGACTACCATCTTCTGTGTTGGATAGATGTGCTCTAATATACCATTTGATTCCCTTGTTCCAGGGCGCTGCCCCCTGGCGTCTCAGAGCTTTCAGGGTGGCCCTTACTTCCCTAGCAAGACCCAGCATGTGCCCGGTGCTGATAGATGCTACTGAGTCTGCTCCCCGCCAAAGCCACAGGTGGCCCTCCCCGTGGAAGCCCTGATCTTCTCTCCATAAATAAATTATACACCAAGGGAGTTGCAAGAAATGGCCAGTCTGTACTGGCAGGAGCGGGGGGGGGGGGCGGAGGGGGATATCTCTGGGATTGGATTTTCAGGGTGCTGGATCAAGAGAACAGGAATAAAAGACTGGATAAGCAGGTTTTGCTGAGTGGGGGCACTTTCTCATACCCACTGGCAGGGACTCCAGGAGATGGAGTAGACTCACCTCCAGAGTGGCTCTCAGAAGCTCCCAAGAAGGCGATGGCCCGCATGGAGAGAAGGGGAAGTGCCGGCCTGGGACTAGCAGAGGGTAGAGGAAGGAACAACAAGGCTGAGTGATGCGGGCAAGCTGGAACAGGATAGAAAAGGTGAGGCCGGTCACATGGCCTGACGGTTACGTTCCCTGGGAGGGCTGAGAGCACCCACCATTCACCAAGGCCAAGGCCAGCGAGAGCCCAGCACCAAAGCCAGCTGGGGCCCTTCTGGCCTGAGGGGCCCCAGCATCACTGAGAAGTCCAGCGGTTGCTGCCCTCTGCAGGCCGATGCCGAAAATGGCAGGAAAGTGGTCCTGGCCTGAGCTCCTTGCCATCCATGGGAGTGATGGAATTCTGATGTGATAGAGGGCAGAGAGTGACTCTCAATCAAGAGACCTCAGGAGACAACCGGCAAGGTCAGAGGGGCAGTCAAGAGCGGCAGGGAGCTGAGAGGATGGTTCAGAGCGCCTGGCTCCCTGGGGGCAGCTACAGCCAGACAAAGGCAAGGGTGCAAGAGAAAGGGGGTGGTCGTCCCAGTAAAAAGTCACAATTTTTTGCTCAGTTCCTGGTCCTGAGCCAATTTTGAGACCGGCCCCACTGACTGAACAGGTGGAGGAGTCCTGAGGAGGAAGGGTCAGGAAACAAGGTGATGAGTATGTACCTACTGTTATGATGCCACCGGCCTTCCCTACGGAGAATGACTGCTATTTCTCAGGTGACAGTGCGCTGGGGAAAAAGGAATATCCAGACATTTCTAGGACTATTTGATCCAGGGTCTGAGGTGACATGATACTGGAGCCCCAAAGTGTCACCATGGGGCCTGGTTAGAGTGGGGCTTAGGAGACGCTGGTAATAAAAGGAATTGGGGACAGAGATCCAGTCATGAAAAGCCAACTGGATCCCTGGACCAATGCAGCGGTCACTCCTCCAGTCCACAAGTTGACGATTGATACGCTCGGCAGTTGTAGCAAAAACCCCCATGTTGGGGCATTGGTCTGTGTGGGGGGCAAGAAGCTATCATGGTCAGGAAGGCCAAGTGGATCCTCTGACACTGGTCTCCAGCCCAGGTGAGGACCGTAAATCAAAACCAATATGGCGAGGTTGAAGAAAGGGAGTTAGCAGCGATTATGGACACCACTGGAGACCTTTAGGACGCAACAGAAGAGGAGGTAGGAGAGCCCCAGTGATGAAGAGAGTGGTGAAAGTGTGTAAAGGCATTCTGTCGGTGGAGGAGGGGGAGAAGGAGGAAGGGAATGGAAATGGCAAGAGGGCCAATGGAGGCCTCCAGTGGATCCATTGGTACTGTTTCCGAGGAGGATGGTGGGTAGAGGAGATTCTGCTGTCTCCTTGGTTATCCATTTTAGCACATCTGGGATAGCACGGCATGACTTTAAGAGCCACTGGGAGAAGCGGGAGAGGCTGTTTTCCACCCACACGCAGGAATAGTGGGAGGCGTGCTTGAGGAGGCTGACTGTAGAGTGCGCTCCCAATCTCCCCTGCTCTGTAACCTTTCCCAGCACGGTAGGCTTCTCAGGTGCAGACCCAGCAAAACCCGGCCTTTGCAATCACGCAGGCAAGAGGCGTTCAGGCACCTCAGGTCCCTCCTGACGACCAGCCAGAGTGGGATGTAGGAAGGAGAGGCGAGGGCCAGACAGAGCATTATGAGTGGGAAAGAGAGGAAGGAAAGTATGGAAGGAATCGAGGGCCCCTGGAGTAGGGGGTGCGTGGCAAGCAAGGGGAATTCTAACACTCGAGCGCCTCACAGAAACCAAGGGAGGGAGCACTCCCCAGATATTGGGACTGCTCAGCTCAGAAAAGCTGGGAACCGGTAGCAGTAGAGAAATTGGAGAGTCAACTGGTGCCCCACCCCAACCACCACCACCACTGTTAGTTAGGGGTTAGTTGCGCATGCTCCAAACTGTCACCGTATTTGTACTTACACCTATGTGATTCTCAACACAGGACTGGTTCCGTTTTAAAGTGTCATTTAATTTTGCTACTCACAAATGTGTGTCCATTTCCAGTGATCTCCAAATTACTGTGTTCAGTCACGAGGATGCTTTGAAATGTGTGAACATGGCCTCACGCGTTCCTTTTGACTAGCGCGGTTCAGTCTACCGGATGCACTGAACTGAACATTGGTTGCTTGCATCCACTTCCCCCTTACTGATGGGAATTTAGAGTGTTCCCAGTTTCCCCCATCGCCAACATTTCCTATGCACGTGTCCTTCCTCGTCCACTACAGGAACGAGAGCGTCTCCAGAAGATGTCGGTGACAGCGGACTTGCTGGGTCACAGGGGGAATGGGCGTCTCCTCTCTTTTAAGATTTTCCGCTCAGAGCAAGGATTCTGGAGCCAAACTACAAGGTTTCGATCCTGCAGCAGATCCCAACACACCAAATGACCTTGGGCCAGAGGCGGAGCCTCTCAGTGCCAGTTTCCTCACGCATAAGAGGGCGGTACTAATGGGTACCTCTACCCTAGGATTGTCTTGAGGATGTGTGACTATTAGTTAACTGCAATGCTTACAACAGGGCCAGGCATGCAATACGTGTTGTATAAGTTGGTTTGCACTGATTCTGCCAATTTACCCTCCCAAAGGACTCTTCTGCGCCGCCGCCCCCTCCTTCACCCGACCCCCACCCCAGCAGTGGGCAAACGCAAGGGTCTCCTCAGAACCTCTCCCACCCTCGGAATGGTTCAGCTCTTTGATTCTTGCGAGTCTGGGCTGTGAACATTGATTCGAGGTTTTAGTTCGCATCTGCAGGGTTAGTGATGGTGAGCATCTTTTGGGGTGTGCACTGACCATTGGGATTTCTTCTTCGAATTGTCTCAGAGTGGAGAGGGGTCGGGAGAAGGGGGCAAAGGCCAGCCTTGGCGCCAAACCGGCCTGCCAAGAAAGTTCCCTGAGCACGCAGCCAGGGACCAACGTAATCGCCCACCGAGGTCGAGCGGTTGCGGCAGAGACCCTGCGGCCTGTGAACAGGCACATCATACTCCCCGGGGAGTATGCCACCCGTCCCCTGATCACTGACTGCGGGCTTCCCGTGCCCCTTGTTCTATCGGGTCCTGAGCGCAGCCGTGGGACAGAGGCCGGCGAATCCTTTCTGCGCCAAGTGCTTCACCTCCGTCCCGACGCGTTATCCCGAACCCCAGAGTCAGGCGCCATCACACCCCGCTCTGTGCACCGGCGGACCGAGGCTAGAAGCCATGACTCCGCCTGGAAAGTAGGAGGCGGGCCCAGAAGAGCCCAGACGACAGCGCCCACCAACCGGCCGCCACCCCTCGAGGCCAACATCCCGACCGGCCTCGGGGCGAACCAAAGGCGCTCTACCCCATTGGTCACAGCCTCGAGGGGCGGGCCTCGAGGGGCGGGCCAACGAGGGGCGCGCGCTGGTTGGCGGGAGGCGCACCAATGAGGAGCCCGCGGCGCGGGCGTCAAATGCGAGTGCTAGCCGCGCGACGTTTGAGGTGCCGTGCGGCCTGGCGCGGCGTCTGTGGTGATTCCCGGCGTCGCCCGAAGCCCTCGTCGCTCGCCTCGCGCCGCTGCCATCTTGCCTGTGGCGCCGGGACCAGGGCGACCTTCTCCCGGCACTCGCGGCATGAGCGCCCCCGATGAGGTGTCCGTCTTGGGGGAGGGTTTCGGGGAGGAGGGCGGGGAGCGGGTCGCCGTCCGCCCGGCAAGCCCCGGAGCCCCGCGGGGCCCACCGGGACCAGGTGTGGATCTGGGGCCGCCGCCCAGCAGCGATGACGAGGGCGGGGTCCCAGACCCCGAGGGTTTCGAGTCCGAGGGGGAAGTGACGGAAGCGGGAGAGCCGGTGCTTTGGGGCCTCGAAGGCCGCCCCGGCTCCCCGGCCGACGACAAGGGGGACGCCCTGGAGGGCGCGTCCCACCTTGCGGACGAGGCCGCGGCGGCCATCGTGCAGCAGCTGACCAACCGGGATGGCCTGGGCGGGCGGAGAAACCCGTCCCCAGAGAGCTGCGTCGTGGACGCGGGCCTCGAGGCAGGGCCGAGCGGGAGAGGAGCGCTTGTCCTTAGCCGCGGAGAGTCGCGGCGGCCTGACGCTGCCCTTCTCCACCTGGGTGGGCCCGAGAGACGCCCCGCTTGGGCGAACCCGAAAAGAGGCACGAAGGGCAGTTCGAACGTCGCCGCGGGGGATCGCCAGTGGCCCTCCGCGGAAAGTCGGGGCAAGCTGCCTTCCGACAGCGAGTCACTGAATGAGTTCAGTGAGATACAGCTGATGAGGGTGAGCATTTACACCAAAGGAGGAGGCCAACTCAAGCCCAACAGCCCCGAGGGTCCCGGGGACACAACCAGACACTCGAATTTCCATGTCAGGGAGAGTTTCCTCCGCGCGCCGGGCTCTTTCCCGTCCTCCGCGCCCCGAGGGCTCACATCGCTTGTGGAGAGGCAGGCCGTTGGAGACCAGGACATCTCCTCCTCTAGGAAAATGCAGGGTGTGGTCTGGGGGAAGGGGGAGAACAGGCCCAGCTACCCAAGATCTGATGCTGCGGGTGGCCTGCCCCGGGCCACCCCTAAGAAGAAGGCGGCCCAGGAGAAGAAATCCCCAAGGGGGGCCTCAAATGTTTCCCTGGGGAGAATGTTCCCGTCCTGGGGGCAGAGAGCCTCGGCAGCACCACTGGCACCAGCCACTTTCCCCCCAATAACTGGTGTTCCGCTGCTTGGGAGGTCCAAGATGTATTCCTTGGTCCCTGCGGGAACCAAACAGTCCAAGCACACCCACTCGGGGAAGAAATCGGTGGCCAGGAGGACTCGGAAGACCGAGCCGGTGGTGGCCGGGGAAGATAATGACTCAAAAAGAGATGCAGTCCCAAAGGTGAGTAGGCCGTGCTTCTCCTCTGTCCCGCGCCCTTTCCCTCCCTGACCAGCACTTCTTGACCCCCGCTCCCTCTGGCCATCCCTCAGGGGCTGCCGTTGGACACCCTCCTCCCCCGGGTCACCGGGATGTCAGACCGGGTCATTTGCACAGGGGCAGACATGAAGGTAGTGCTCCGTGTGTGCTGGGCACCATCCTGGACCCTGCCCACGTTTCCTGCCTCCCCCCCCCCCCACGCCCTGCCCGGAAGGGGGCTGGGATGGAGGGGAGGGCTGGTAGTTGATTTGGATCCGGGAGCCCCTGCCCCTTGAAAGTTTGGACCGCAAAGCTTCAGTCTTTAGACTCCCGGGCTTCCCAATTCCTACTTTGTAGCTGGTCCCCAAGACTTCCTTGCAGGGAGCCAGGGCCCTCTCAGTGGCCCCCTCTTCTCCCTAGCTCAGCGCTGCCTCCTGGCCTGGGGCTGACTGAGGGAGAAGGCGCTAGCCAGATCAGCCTCTGAATTCCCTTCCCTATGCCCTGCCTCACCCCAGCCCCTAACCACACCCACAGCGCCCGTTTACACCTACTACACCCCCACCCCCACCCCCAAAACATCCCAAGGCCAAATCATTGAGACATTTTTCTTTTAGCAGCTTTCAGCACACAGGCCAGGGCCGTCTTGTCCGTTGGTGCATCGTGGGGAAAGCAGCCGTGGCGACGTCAACACCAGAGCCCCCCAGTTTCCAGGAAGCTCACGGCCCTTGGCCCCGAGCCAGGGAGACGTCATGCCCAGAGGGCCCGCACCCTCGGGTGAGTCTCGCAGGTTTCACGGGAGTGCAGGGGAGACAGGACCAGGGGGGCCGCCTCTGGCTCTGGCTCTGGCTCTGGCTCTGGCTCTGGCTCTGCGGGGGCGGGGGCGGGGGGGCTCAGCTTTGTTCCCTGCCTGTCGACCCAGGCAGCTTCTCCCACAGGAAACGGGGTGTCGACAGGACCGGCCTTAAGCCACATCATCCTCTGCATGGGGCTTGCGCGGCAAGGGTGATTTGTGGCCGCCCCCAAACCGCAACCCCTGACGTAGACTTTCAGCAGAACAGAGCCTTGTTCCGTGAAGTCGTGTTTGGCCGCACTGCCCGTCCCAGTGGCTGGCTGTGGCTGCAGCTCGGGGAGAGTCCGGCCCAGAGCCACCGGCCTTCGGGACCGCTATCCAGGAAGGGCTGCCCTGGGGGACAGGAGAGGCAGGCCCAGGGAGAAGGATGGAGCTGCTGGCAGAGCAGGGGCAGCTTGCTGCCAGCAGAGGGTGGTGCTGCCTCACGTCGGACCCTGCGAGGCCCTTTCCACCTCACCTGGAGGTGTTCTTTGCCTCTCAGCTGGATTTTGTGTTCTTTCCCTCTCAGCTGACCAGGAAGGGCTTGCCCGCCTCCCAAGACCGGAAAGGCAGCAGCAACCACCTGGAGCACAGGGCTGTCCTCGGGTAATGCTTCCTCTGGCTCCTGGAAACGCACGCAGGCCCAAACCACGTGCTGGCACCCGCGTCCCCGTTCAACTGACATATGTGCCCCGCCCCCACTCTGCTCCCCACAGAGGGAGGGCACCTCCTATCCACTGAGGGTCCTGTGCCGGCCTAGCCGCTGGGCCTTGCTGTGTGGTGCCCGCAGGAGAGGGGGAGGACGGGGAGAGAGGAGGCCAGGGTATGCTAACATGCTTTTCTCTCTCTCCCGTGTCTGCCGGCCTAGTGTCTCGTGCTGCAGGGAGAAATTGACCACCTGAAAGAGCAACTTGGTATGAGGAGCCTGTGGCTGGGGCCGGGTCGGGGGAGGGGGCAGAGGCAGCGGGGGTGGGGGGGGGATGGGGTTGGGGGGGGCTCTCAGTGCAGAACTCGCGATGGGCTGCAGGTGAGGCAGCCCCACAGGGAACAAGATTCCCACGGGCAGGGGAACCTAGCAGGCCTGGCCCCTGGAGCCTGCTGTGCGTGTGCAGCTAGGTGTGTGCACAAAGGGGAAAGGATCGCCTCCCCTGGGTGCACGCTTTGCCGACCACCACGAGTCCCAGAGAATCTCTCTCTTTGGACGTTTAGAGATGCCTCTTTGATTTTCCCTTTAATCGCTCTTTGGTATGGCTTGGACGGTGTGTATTTGTCTGACAAGCTCTGAATGGTTCCGAGGTGACCCAGAGTTTGAGAAGTACTGGAACGTTTTGTTCCCTTAGACGACATGTCCATATTTAATTCAGCTGGTGGGTGAGTGGGTCAGGCCCAGGGCTCTTTGGATGGGGGCTGGGGGGGAAGCGTGGGTTGCAGGTTGCAGGACCGGGCGGTTCCCCAAGGGGACAGGGGCACGGGCTTCTCTGTCCCCAAGTCCGGAGCGCCTGCTTACGCCTGTCTCTGTTTCAGCGGCCCTGCAGTCCCTGACTGACCAGTTCCAGACCCTTGGAAGTGAGTGCTACACACACCGTCCCCCTTCCCACGGCCGTGGCTGCCGAGGAGGGCCGTGGGCTGGCCCTGGCCTGACGCTCTTCCCTTCCCTGAGTCTGCTCTGTTTGACAGGCTGAGCCTAGCATCTCCTACAAGAGGAGCGGCTGGTACCTTTGGAGCCAGGGAGCTGTGGCCAAGCTGCTTCCCTGCCGTCGACGTTCGACCTCAGCCTGGGCTTCCTCTCCCTGTTCTTGGCCGCCTCCCCGCCCCGGTTCACAGCAGTTTCAAATTAAAGTACCTCTCATGTTCTCTGGTCTGTCCTCTCTCGGGGATGGGAGGTGGCTGGGGATGGGGAGGAGAAGCGGAGGGGAGGGGAGGGCAGGGGAGGGGAGGGCAGGGCAGGGAGCTGCTCCATTTTGCAGCCTTTTCCAGAACAGGACCCCTGGCGTCGTGTGTTGGGCCTCCTCCTTGAAGGGAGTCTGGGCCGCCTCCGCTAGGAGCCCTGCAGTCACGCCGGCTGAGTGTCCCGCCGTCTGGGCGCAGCGTGGGCCCTGCCGGGCCCGCGAGCACCCGCCTCCTTTCCCTGCAGGCCCCCTTCAGGCTCTCTCCTAAGCCCCTCGTCTTTTAGGGTCTCCCGGTTCCCATTCATCTCCGGCCTCACCCCTCCCCTTCCAGCAGGGACTCGGGACCCCTTCCAGAGCTCCAGCCCCTCTTCCCTTCCCTCCTTGGGACCACTGTCTGCTCTGCCTTCCGAGGGTCCGGGATCGCTCCCGTGGCTTTCCGTCGTCAGTGGCCTCCCCTGCACCTGTGTTTCCACAGGTGTTACAGGGCACAGTTGAGGGGCCCTTCCCCGGTCCTGGGCCCAGCCCCCACTACGAGTCCTTACCTCCCTCTGGTGCCACCTCGCACAAGGGCAGCTGGCCTAGGGACTGGCGCCTCCTCCTCCTCCTCTCCCGTTTGGCCCTCGGTTTCCAATCCTGTCGGCGCTCCCTCGCTGGGTTCAGTAGCAGGGTGGAGGCAGAAGTCACAGCCCAGTGGGGTGCAGAGCCGGAGGGCAGCTTGGTCTCTGGGCTGGAGGTGGGGGCGATGGGGCCTGCGGTGGCTCTGGGCCAACCGGGGGCAAACTGCCCGGCAGCAGCTGGAAGTGGACAGTGTAGCCGTCAGAGCTCTCGCGTCCTTCTCGTCCAAGCCCCTCGCTGCCCCTCCTCCAGCCTGGTCGTTCTCACTGCCCTTGACTGGAACGTGGCCGGTTTCCATGGCAAGTGTGCGTGATGGGTCTCGGTGTGCCTGCACGGTCCCCCTTCCAGTGCTGTTTGACCTGCAAAAAGCCATGACACGGGTTTCCTGGAAATGCTCTTTCTGTGTCCCAGCTCAGGCTCCCTGGCTGCCTCTCTTGGTCACACGAGATTTAGTCTGAACTCGGTGTTCATTTGCCACTCACTGGGGGTTGGGGGTTGCTTCCTTCCCTCGGGCAGGACCCAGGTCTCCGTGAGGTGAGGGTAGCTTCTGCCAGACCAGTCCCCTTTCCCTAGAGACTGGGTGTTTTACACACAGAAAGCCGGGGCGGGAGGGAGGGAGGTGGGGGGTCAACACAATGAACAGTCAAGATTGGTGTGTGTGTGTGTGTGGTCTGTGTATGTACATCTATGTGCGTGGGTGAATAACGTTAATCGGGGATAATCACCTTTGAGGCAGAGATCTGGGATTCAAGAAGTAAAAGGAGTGGAGACCATGGTCAAGAATCTGTAAGGGACGGGGAGCCTTGGTGGCTCAGTCGGTTAAGCGTCCATCTCTGGATTTCAGCTCAGGTCACGATCTGAAGGTTGCTGAGTTGGGGCCCCACATCAGGCTCAGCGCTGACAACACGGAGCCTACTTGGGATTCTTTCCCTCCCCCTCTCTCTTCCCCTCCCTGGCTCAAGCTAGCATGCGCTCTCAAGATAAATAAATAAACTTAAATATTTAAAAAAGAAGGAAAAAAACCCCCAACAACCTGTAACGCATTGCATGAGCACAAGCAAGGGTCGCGCCTGCTTTTCAGGGGTTGCAGTTAAATTCCTAGAACAGGAGGGGAATGACACGGACGTCCCCAGATCCCAGGACACGGTGTGGAGACGCTCAAAATGTTGGGAGCTGCCAGAGGAGGCTGTAGAGCCTACTCTGTGATCCTGTGAGGTCTGACCCCTCCGGGGTGTTCCGAAGGAACGAGAATGGGAGAGAAGGCTATCTCTCAGTTGCCGGGATGTACCTACCTCATCTTAGCAGCAAGGAGCTGGATCGCATAGGAGACTGCTGTGCCTGGAGCTAAGGGAGACACGGGCAGGATGGGCTCCGTGCGGATGGCTTCCCCATGGAAAACTGGGCCGGCTCGGTTCCACCTTTCCTCACCCCCCGCCCCCCATTCTCACCCTGCCTTCCGTTCCGGAAGAGCCGGTGGCAGTGAGCTCAGGTGGACACGCCGTCACACGTGGGGTGGCACAAGCAGAGACCCCAGCCTGGGAAAGGACATTCATGGGGCTTAATCCTTCCGCTTCAAGCCCCTCATTTGAGAAGGTGGGGTTGGTTGCTCAGGCTCCGGCCTTGACCCTGACCCTGACCCGACGGTTACTTCTTGGAAGGGTAACACAGCGTGCCGCTGAGCGAACGCGTTTGGCAGAGACCTTCCGGCTGGGGTGTCTGCCCACGGAGACTTGGGCCGGTTGTGAGTGGAGAGAAGTCCAGCATGGGCTCTGCCCCGCCGGGGGTGGGGGTGGGGGTGGGGGTGGGGGGTGGGCGGAGCCCAGAGCCCCGGTGGCCAGTGTGAAGAAGGAGAGAAGGGGATGTGGGAGGGCAGGGTCACAATCCTCCCTGGCTAGCTTTGCCAGCCTCCCTTCCCTCCTCTGAGCACACGGTCTGTGTTCCATACTCAGACCAAGTGACACACCGCAATGTTGCTGTAACCGTGTACATCGCCGGCTGTGGCCCGGCTCCTTCAGGTCCCAGGCGGAAGGAGGTGGCAGATGGGGAGGCGTAGCTTAAGGGAATACATGTGCGTCCCAAGACAAAGGGGGAGGTGGGATCCCTGCCCTAATTTAGTGTGCCCCTCTTGCCTTGCCCCTCAAGCCTCCTCTCCTGCCAGGGAGGCAGTTGTGGCTGGCCTGCAGAGCCCTGGGCCCCATGCCGCCTCCTTCCGCTACCTGCCCAGTGCCTGGGCCGAACGCTTTCTCTCCACCTCCTCCAGCACCAGCACTAGTGCCGCCACGATCAGCAGCCAACCTTTCTCTGAAGAAAGGGTAGGAGGAGGTGAGCACTGGAGACGGAGCCTGGTGTGGTCAGCACAGTATAGGTCCCCAACTTAGATGGGAATTAGGTGTCCCCGTCCTAACTCCTGGAATCGGCTAAACTGTTACCTTGACAAGGCAATGGTGGTTAAGGCTCTGGGTGTAATCATGGTTGCTACTCAGCTGACCTTAAGATGGGGAGACCTTCGCCTGTGTTTGCTAGTTTGCTAGAGCTGGCTGGCCCGCACCTTGGGGTTGCCAGGGTGGCAATTGTACCTGCATGATCCTGGTGCGCACCATTCATGTGACTGCAGGGTGCTAGGGGCCCCTGTGTTCCCGCAAGGTTGTAGCCTTGGTAACTACCACTCAAGTCTGGAGAACACGGACAGGAATTTGACTGGCCCCATGCTAGTCACTTCTCCTCCTTAGTTCTTTCGAGGTGACCGCGGTCTTAAGCAATTTTTTTATTTCATTTTTTATTTCTGAGAGAGAGAGAGAGAGAGAGCGTGAGCAGGGAAGGATCAGAGAGAGAGGGTGATACAGAATCTGAAGCAGCCTCCAGGCTCTGAGCTAGCTGTCAGCACAGTGCCTGATGCAGGGCTCGAACCCACGAACCGTGAGATCATGACCTGAGCCGAAGTGGGACGCTTAACCAACTGAGCCACCCAGGCACCCCAAGGTGACTGCTGTCTTAACTTTTCCAATCTTTCTTTGAAAGGATAACAATTGCTATTTAATAAGTCACCATTACAAAGGCAGAGAGGATAAATTACATGAAAGCAAGCATTAATCATATGTGTATAAACCCTGTATACACACAATTACAGAAAGTCTTCAATTTGATAACCCGTGTGACTACTACCCAGGTGAGGAAACGGTACATTGCCCTCCAGAAGTGCCATATGTGTGCATCCTTTTCCATGAAGGACGCAAAATGCAAAGGTCTACCATACCACATGATTCCATTTCTACGACATTCTTGTGAAGTCCAAACCATACGGACAGAGAACACATCGGTGGTTTCCAGTGTGCGCATGTGAGAGAAGGAAATTAACTACCAGAGCATGACAGAATGTTGGGGGTGATGAATAGTTTTTGTAGTTTGCTGTGGTCGTAGTTCCATAACTGGATTTATAAGGACTCCTAATCTTTGATTTAAATGATATCTCAGTACTCTTGAATTTTTACAAAATTGTGAAAAGTATAGCATGGATGGATATTGAAACTCAAGTAATTATTTTTTCCAAATGCAAGCATCATAATTCTGGGGGGGGGGG